ATACATACATTTACAGATTTTCCTGCTTCTTTTGATTTTTCTCAAGCATATATCTGATCATTCAAGGCTTTTTTTCTCCAGCTTTAAGAGAAGAAATGCTCAAGCGAGGCCAAAGTGTTTTGACAGTTTGCTTCAGCTAAACCTTTGACATAAATCAGGCCTTGTTTTTGTAAGTCGGCCTTCTGTATTAATCCAGAGGAAACACACGGTTGAGCGGCTTGCAGGACCATAAGTCAGACGAGATAACTGAAGCCCGTTTGTTGAAGAAATTTATTTTTGTTTTCACAGGGCCCTTTAGTGCCTCGGGATGAACTCAGTCCATATGAGGTCCCTGCAGCTCCACTGTGACCTGTTTTGGTCTTCAAGCAGAGCCATGCAGAGAAACACTGAGCACCTCTGTTCTGATTCTGTGGTATTAGTGAGGCGAGATATGGGCCAGCGTACAACAGCCAAAAAGACTGTGGTGAGGCTTTTCTCCACAGACATAAACAATGACACTTCCAATTTCCTGTGGACCAGGACGTGTCGTCCAAAACGAAGAAGAAAAACCTCACAGATCGTATGTTCATGCGTGGCCGAGAAAGACAGAAACTGGAAGGAATGAGAACGATCCATTGGCTTAATTGTCATATAAATCACGTTTTCTCTCTTGACGTTTATGTTGAAGCGTCCGCAGCCGATGGGTTTTTTGAAGAAATGTGTGCGTTGATCTATTTGGGCATTAGAGGCCACTGGTATGCCTCTCCAGATGTACCTGCAGCTGAGATACATCTGTCGGCGGTGAGATGGAAGAAACGTCCAGATGGACTTACCTGTGTCAGCTCCATCAGGATAATGACGGTCTTGTTTACCATATGCGTGAAATGCACCAAAGGAATGTGACTTTGTGTGTTCAAGCATGTGTGTGTTTGTGTATATGTTGGGAGAGGCCATGTGTACTTACCCTCCCCATTGTTTTTACGGCTACCAGACTGGCCATTTGTTCTGAGGCACAGACTGGGCTCTGTGTACTTTTGTGGGCAGATGCAGCTATAAGGTCTGGTTGACTTTCCTCCCCCTCTTTCGCTCCCTCCAGCTCTTGTTTCTCCTCTGGTGAAACGGGGTTATGTTTAGTTTTCTGTGTTGGTAGGGAGGGGGTTGGCTGAAGGCTTGGTGTCGCTCGAGAGGTGCTGCAGGAACCCCTAACACCATCGCAGGGTGTTTCGGCCCGCTCCACTTCACCGGATCTGAGGAAGCAGACCTGAGCCAATTAAGAGCTGGGAGATCGGGCTGCTGTTCGTCTCGCTGCGACCCGCCCCCCTCGTTGCTTTGATCTCTCGCACGCTACGCAAAAACCACAGGCAGAACAATTCACCCTCTCTATGCACACAGTAAACGGCAGGGCTCGCCCAGTTATTATAATCTGGCTGCAAGATTTCTGGGTAATCAACAAAAAATATGACAAATTGATCTAATGTCTGCATGCTGCTGTAGAGCGGACACGGTCGGAGAAATCAAGATTCAGACAAGTTGTTTCTCTGATAATACTTACATAGCTTTACTGCTTATTTTAGATCTTTTGAATTAATAAAACTAGTTTAACCGCCTTTAAAAAAGTTTGCTATTAACAACAATAAAAAAATCGTTTTCCTATTGATAATGGTTTTTGCGGAAATAAGATTCTCCAGTTTTAGATCGACCAGTTAAAAATGTGTTTAATGAATATCACACATGTTCATAAAAGGTTTCCAGAATGAGAATCTGGAACTCACTAAGGGGTGGAAAATTGTTACATTTGGATCTTATCAGATACAGTACAGCAGAGAAAAATCACACATTTTTTCCTCGGGCAATTAATTACAGAAAATAAGTCAAAAATCGGTGTGGTGATCAAATGTTAAACTGTTGGCTCCATTTTGTGTTTATTTAGCTTATTTCAAGTTTATAAAAAGTTGTCTGTGATTAGACAAATCTTTCTTTTGGTCTCCTACATGCAGAAAACCTCATATATATGGTGTGAAGGATCAATGAAAGATTTAATCAAGTTAAATCATCTTTATTTATAAAGCACATTTAAAACAGAAGCTGTTACCAAAGTGCCTATTTAACAAGTGGGACTAGTTTGTGCATTGAATACTTTGACCTACAGTCACCAGATATCAACAAAACTATAAATATATGTTGAAAACTGAATTTTGGACTGATACTAAACATAAATGCACCAAACGAGAACTTCTAAAAAATGGAGGTTCTATCCTTCAAGTAGAGTTGCGGAAACTTTTAAGACTCAATTTTAAAGTTGGTTTAAAGCTATTTTAAAAATATGTTGTTGTCTATTTTTAGATGTGAATATTTTTGCTCTGCTGGAAAACATTGAAACGTGTCATAAAAGGAATAGATTTAAAAATAAAAAAAAATAACCCTGGACTTGTGTTTTTGTGTCTTCAGGACCTCCACAGGTGTCTGAGAAAATTGTCCACAGACAGATGGCCCGACTGGGAAGTGCCATCAAGTTACCATGTCCAGTGGTTGGTGACCCACCACCCTTAACCAGGTGGACCAAAGATGGACGCACCATCCACAGTGGCTATATTCGCTTCCGTATCCTCCGCATGGGCTTGAAAATCAAAGAGGTGGAGGCAGATGACACCGGGACTTACAACTGCCAAGCTACTAATGGATTTGGAAGTGTTAATGTCAACTACACCCTCATCGTTATCGGTGAGTGAGTATATTGAGTTTAGTTTGCATGGCCTGCTTCGGCAGGTTCCTCAGATGAGATCATTGGTTTTTATACGCCTGTCAAAAGGAAGATGTATTACTGTATAGTCTCTGTCTGTAAACTTTCTCTTACTCCACCCATAACTTCTGATCCGCTAAAGATATTACAAACAAACTCATACATACAGTATATGCATCGTTACTAGACGGAGCGTCACGTATGCTTTTCATCCTCCCTGCTCCATGCTTAAGGCCACAAATAAACATAAACATTTACACAAGGTTTTTCCTTGTCCCGGACATTTCTACAGATTGCTATTTTGCTGTATAATATTTTGTTGACGTGCATGCGCATGTCCTGCTTTTTACCATAAAGTCACCATAGCAGACATTCAGTCCCTGCATTGCACAGTCTGTCCACATCAGCTTCTGCTGTTGTGCTGTTATATCAAACATGTAGCTCTTTAAAGCCAAAAAGTCCCACCACTGCTCTTGTAATAGACAGCATCATTCAGATTTATGGAGGTTTAGTGGCTGATCTTAGCCTTTTGTCTTTGTTACATTCCCTGCTTCTCTCTGCCCAAAGTCAACAGCGTCTTGGGATATTGTTTCATTCTACTTCATCCTCTGTGACTCAACTGGATCTCGCTCTTTCTTTTCCTGAGGCTACAGTCTGCAGAGGCAGGAGGTCTACAGCTCCGCAATCAGAAACACATTCAATGTAACAGAGCCGTTTTGCTGAACAGGGCCTGCAGGATTAAGGACAGTCAGACCAAGTGTGTAGCTCCTTTGTGCATTTCCTCTGTCCTAGGCCAGAGCATGATGAATGAGCGGAGCAGAGCGTGAAGGCTGTGTTTAGTCTAATTACTCTAAGATGCCTAATTTGGGCCAGAGTCTGTGCTCTATCTCACAGGAGGAGTTACAGCCTGGTCTTGTGACAGCTTTGACTCAGAAGAAGAGCCGTAATCAGGCCGAGGCAGAAAACACAGAGAACAGCACTTGTTGCAGAACAGCACGCTTATGAAGTAGGGTATGCATAAAACCAAGGTTTATTTTAGGGTCTGCCTCTTTATGAAGTTGCTCAAGAGTTCAAAGACAGGGTGTCGGCTGATTGTGTTTAAATTAAAGGTTGAAGATCTTGGCACACGGCCTTCTGTAATGCCAAGGTTAACAGTGCCATGTGGTATCAGATACGGTGCCATATGCGTTGCATTTAGAGGACAGTTTTGGAGCGGAGCATTTCCAAAATGCAGTTTAGTCTGTCTGCAATATTACAAAAAACTTACCAAGTGCAGTATTTTACCCGCTGAAGACAGAGACTATAAAGAAATGTAGATTCAATCAGCGTTTTATATGTGTGGGCTTGAATTTTCTTTTTAAACGTCGCAACACGTTAGTTGTAACAGTGGAAGTGCCACGACTTTTTGTGAGCGCTGTCTAATAATTTTATCCCCTGAAAGTCAGCACTGCTTCTCCCCCCACCAACAAAAAGAGAATTAAGAAAATAAAAAATAAAACCAAGTAGGCCTACAGATTTGTTTCCCCTTCCAGACGTTAATACCATCTTTGACATGTGATTCAAGTAGAGCTTTAACCTTTTTTTTTTTTAATCATAAAGTGATAAGCACCATGACACAGCGTGGGCTTCAAGCTCGACTTTCACAGAGATGATAAATAAAGAATGTTTTCTGGGAGTAGAACGTGGCTGATGGTTTGTTACTTTACACTTAAAACAAATCCCAATCAGTCATGATGAATGGTAAATAAGTATCAGTTGAGAGAGCTTTAAATTAGGAGTAAAAATGTCATGCTAATGAAAGAACTGTTAAAGTCTCGGATAAATAAAGTAAATGCATAATTGTCTCAGAGTAAAGATTTATTCAAATTTATTTGCCAATACACAGCACAAAACTAAATAATGAAATATCAAATTGTCTAAAATGAGTGTGTATTAATATTGTGGCTACTAGGAATAAGCTTTTCACCTCATTAAATGTCTGTAGAGGATTTTAAGACGCTTAAAGAATGTGAGCAAGTGCAGGTAAATTCATCGTGTCAAGAGTAGATAATAGTTTCTAACAGTAAGTGTCCACTGTACCAAATAATCACAAGAAATATAAACTCAAAAGATAAAATGTGCAAAAGTGAATTGCTGAACGTTTCTATTTAAATCAAAGCGCTGAACTAAAATAACGTCACGTTGAAGTAAAAGTAAAAATAAGTTTAGGATCTGGTTTAGGTTTAAACACTAGAGGGAGCTGAAATGTTGAAATCATGGAAATTGATAGGAATTACAAAACTTTGAAGGTTTGGTCTTCAGCTTGTACCTTATTTTCGATTACTACACTTTTACATTAACTTTGGTCATTATTAAATTTGGCATCAACATCCAGATTTTACATTAATTTAAAACAAGACATAGCAAATAGCATCTTAAAGGTGCTTATTACAAACTCTATTAACATGAACCGTTTGAAAGAGTTTACGTCAGTATGTTTACCAAGTATGTTGATATACATTTCTGAAATGTGGGTACGCACTCAATGAAAACAAAGCACGTGGCTGAATTAGTTCAAAATCATGTGGAAGCTTATCTTCATACTTTACTCAACAAATCTGAGTGTGAATAAGTACCAACACTAAAAAATAGTTAAACTTCACAAACAGCTCTTTCTTCGGGTGTTGTATTTTCAGTCACTTCGGCTGTTTCCGTAGGGAAACAAACTTTTAATTTAAGGATACGTTTACAACCAATACGAGGAAAAAAATTGTCCGGATTTAGTTTTTTATTTTATGATTTATTTATTTATTTGTACTAGTCTTCCTGATTCAGTACCTTTTAAACCCTTAGCTCAGGGGTGTCCAAAGTGCGGCCCAGGGGCCATTTGTGGCCCTTGGAGTGATTTTTTGCGGCACACGTTTGCAGTTTAAGAATGATGTAATTTCGGCTCGTAGGCTTCAAAGATTGATACAGACCTTTTGCAAATTTAATGGTGATAATATTTTATATAATTCTTACGTTTAACAGCAAAACAGATTAAAAAAATAACATCTCAAAATGAGCAGTATAAAGTTTAATACAATCCTTTGGCAATAAATCAGTAAAGTCAAATACATTAAATGTAAAAGGTTTATGTTTATGAAGCTTTTAATGTTTTGGATTACAACAATTTAGAACACCTTCTCCACCAGAATTACTCATGTTTGTCTTTTCTCCAACATATTGTTTATGTTTTTAGGTTGTGTTTATGCTGAGTAAGAAAAAAAAAAACACAAAAAATATGTACGCTTTTTATTATTATTATTCTTTTATATGTTTTTTTATTCACATTTATGTGGCTTGTGACTCCTTTCATCTTAAAACTTTTGGCCCACATTTGAAAATGTTTGGACACCCCTGCCTTAACTGGAGGTTCCCAATTTAGAGGTTAAAGGGCCCTATTGACTAGATTTGCGTACAGATTATAGATTCTCCTGGGGGGTTCAGATTAAAACACCACAGTGTCTAAAGGGCTGTGTAAGCCCTCCCCTTTTATTGACACCTCTTTTGATCAACTGGGTCTATCTACTATGGTCTCTCCAGAGCCAATAATATCATTAAGCACTAAGTACACACTAGTTTTAGTTAAAATATTTTTCACAACTGAAGTAAAGAATTCAGAGTTAAGTTTACAAAGAGACTAAGCTTTTGCATGCACTATAAAGGCTTTAAAAACAACGTCCAATTTTATTTGGATATGCGTTTTCCAGGCAGATTAAGCATTTTTATGAGGACTGCTTAAGGGTTAATTTATCCAGATTTTTAAAAAAGTTTGAAACAAGGAAGGGACTTTTAAAATGGCAGCCCAAGTTGTTTAAACTATTCTTCTTGAGGACAGAGTTAAATACCGCAGTCGCTCGTGGAATTCGTATATGGATATAAATATTGATTCAAGCCAGGGAGATAAAAACGTGCATATTTGTAAACACACATAACTTACAGCTGTGTAATCTGAAAGATAGCAACGCTCCGCCCGTGGTCTGAGTTATATAACGGATCATTTGTGCCGTTTAACACAGTGAGAGTAGAACAGAAACAATTTGAACTTCTGTGATAAAGATGAGATCAGTTACTGCGTACATGGCTCCGGTCCCACTCTGTGATTTTGTTTGGAAAGCACACCATCATACATTTAATCGTGTTTTTCTCAGAAGCTAAGTTCCTGGAGATTTTTATCAGGAGTTTTTTTTTTTTTTTTTTTTTTGTCCTTTATGGAGTTATGTAGAAACCTTCTGGACTGACTCTTATATTTTGATTTGGTCTGTTGTAATTCCCACTCATACTGTCTGAACGCATAGTGAACAGATACGATGATCACTCTGCAGGTTACAAGAACACACTGTCTGTCTTGTTCGTCATCACATTAGGTGCTGGCAGGCCATCGACAAAGAATTTGTTTTCGTAGGTAATCGTTCCACCGGGTGTGTTTCATTGTCAAAACACGGCCCTGATTGAAGGCAGCTGAACACAACCAGCAATTACCATGAGCAATACTGTCCATTAACACTGAATCAGCTAATTAATTTAGCATGCCAACCTGTTTCTATTATGATGCTTGAAAGGATCTAAAAAGAGAGTTTATTTTTTTATTCTTTAAAAGTGTACTCCCAGAGCAGCTTAGTGTCTAATATCCATCATGTCAGTTTGTTTTTAACACTAAAGCACAAAGGGAAAATCTTCAAATAGCAACAGTGCCGGTCACTGGAGAGGTCAGTTAAATTGGCTGTAGTTCAAGGCCAAACACGAAGAGTTTACCTCTTCACACTGAAGGAGGATAAAACGATGGAGAAGAGTGAGACTTGAGGTGAAAGACGAGGAGATCTGATGTAAGAGGGAGTGGAGAGGGGGAGGGGGGGGGGTTCATTGTGGCTGGAGAGATTTCCCTCTTCCCATCTGCCAGCGGACAGCCTGTCCTCTCCAGAGCTATCTGAAGAATCTGGTCAGTCCATTCAACATGGCGCCTCCTCAATCCCTCCAGCTGGTTGTTTGGGCCCTGTTTGGGGTACTGTCCTGACAACTGGCTCCATCACCCCCCTGAGCAATCATGCAAGGGACGCTGATGCATGCAGCAGCAATCCCTTTGTCCTCGGCTGCTCAGGCATGTTTGCACAAGTAGGAGATTGTACAGTTTACAGGAGTGGATTTAATGTTTATGTCTGCACTAATAAAATATTACAGGGTTAACGCAGAGCTCATTTATTACTACATGAGGACAGTGGCTTTCAGAGCAAGACTTTATTTTATTTTGCTCCTCTAGAGATGTAGCCAGGCCAACTGTTGGATGAACCGCTCCGTGTCCGGCTGACCGCAGGCGGTAACTGTTTGGAGATGACGCAACGCCACTGTGCATAACTTTCCCTGCACGTTACAATGTCCCCAACAACATCTGGAGCTTGTTGAGACCCCCTGATCCTCAGGCCTTTTCCTGAGATTCAGCTGGCGCAGGAGGCCAGCAGAGAGCCTGTGTGTAGTGACCTGTTTCCTGTGGCTGGATTTGTGAATGAAGTGGGAGGGGATGGCGTCAGACCACAAACACTGTAGGGAGATCATGAATGGACTCCAGCCGTATAAAATACAGTTGATTACATTTTAACAAACTTGATAGTTTCAGTCTGGACATTTAGTTGCAAAAGAACACATGCATCATGATTCCTGCAAAACAAATTACTTAAATGTCATGTTTGTAACACAATGAGATATGTTGCTTCATTCAGAAAAACTTTTCTGTTTGAAATCTGCTTCAGTACAGTTGTTTAATGCTACTTTTAGCTACTATTCTGCTACTTTTAGCTTCTAGCTAGCCTTACAATATTTTTAGCTAAACCTTCTATTTTTAATTTTTAGCAACCCTTTAGATTTTTAAAAGCTTTTTGTAACTTCTTGTTTTCAAACAGCTTTTTTTATTTCTTTTATTTAGACATTTGCTATTTTTTTTAATTTTAGCTACTGTCTTGGTCCTTTGGCTTTCAACTAGCTTTTGCTACTTTTAGCTACTCTTTTGCTACTTTTTATATAACACTCATGTTGCAGCTTTAATTTATCTTGCCTCTGACATCGTGCAGACACAATAGATGCAGGAGATTATTTTAATGCTTCATATTATAAAAGGTGCCATTGTTCCCTAGATTTGCCAAAAAAAAAGCAGAGAGGAAATAAATCCAAGAAAGAAAAAAATAAAAAAAATAAGCCCTGGCAGTGCGGGACCATGGTCTGTTTGGATTGGGAGGTTCAGGAACCGGCAGGAATGTGGAGAGCCCAAGTGAGCAACAGAGAAATATTTCTTCCAGTGAAGGCTGTTTTTTAAAGGAATGGGTTATTATAGTTGGCCAGTTAAACCCCTTCAAACGGCCATGACATCATGGCTGGGCTCGGTGCTGCAGGGGACAAACAAAGGAGGGTTTGTACCCAGAGAACCCAAGAGAGCCTTGACAGATTCAGGGGTTCACAGAGGGAGGCAGAACGAGGGGGTTAGAAGTCACATCTGGTCTCTTTACCTGGCCCAATCAAACCCCGAGAGGGAATCAAGTGTGCCAAACTGCATCTAGAACAAAAAAAATACATTAGACTGCAGTAAAAGCAGAAACAAATGGAGCCGCAGCAGATTTCAACTACGCAGAAGGCTGTTTTCTATGCTGTGAACTAAAGGTGCAACAAGTGGAATCATCTACTTTTAATTGGCTAAATTAGTTTAAATTGCTAATTCCACTTTTTAAAATGTGAGAAGGTGTTAGAAACTGACAGTCAAATTTGAGGTATCATTTAGAACCACTGCAGCTGAGTCTATCCTTCATAATCCAGCTGTTTAGTGTCTCTGCACAGACAGGCAGAGGTCGTTGAGGAACCTGATCTGTTCTGTTACTTCATCACTGCTTAACTCGAAATGTTGTTGCTCATCAGAAATCATCGATTGGGTTTCACTCATTATTTTTTGTCTAAGCCCCCTATTCGCTGGGCTGCATGATGTCAGCCAGTGACATAAACTCCACAGCTGCCTCCTAGAACCGGGCTTACAAAAACTGATCAGATTACTTCCAAAAGCTGCAGAGCATGACCCGAGCATGCAACCTCGTCAATAGACTGAGCTCACTCCAACAGTCTGCAGCACTTTTCTGTTATTTATGTGTCATGATATAATAACTATTATGTTAACCTTGTCCGAGTTTTAATAAGAAACAGTGCAGCCATGCTCCTATTCTTCAAAACTTGCACACATAAATACTTTTCTGTTTCATTTTCCTATATGTTGTTTGATGTTTTATTTTTGTCCCTGCTGTGTCAACAGATGACTCAAGTTCTGACAAATCTGGACCGGCCACTGGAGCAGAGTCTGAGCCGAGCAGTGAAAAACTTGGTGAGACTCCACTGGAATGTTTTAATGATGCTGTGGCAAACAGCGAATTCAGCTTAGTGGTTTTACACATTTTTAGAGTTCTGTTTGCAGCCGTCCTGCTCTTTAATTTGTCATAAATCTTCAGCTGATGGTTTCATTTTTTATCATCTGTATAATATGACGTGTTGGTTCTGTAGTTAAGTGCACGTGATTCATAAAGCCTGCAGATACAAAATGATACATTTAGATTTCAATAGTCTGTAATTTAATTTAGATACTTTTTAGAAATTAAATCAAACAATTTTGTGAAGATACTATAAAACTTTATTTAAAACTAGAGCAAATGCTGAGTGCTGGATGATTGCTGAAATTTGCTGAACAATCTGAATAAACTAGAAGGAAAATAACACTAGTATAAAGCTAAAAGTAGCAAAAAAACTAAACCTTTATAAGTTACAAAAGGCTAGCTTAAAGCTAAAAGTAGATAAATCCTAGCTAAAAGTATCTTAACACTAAATAGAAGTTAAAAATGGCAAAAGGTAATCTAAATGCTAAAAGAAGCAAAGAAGAAGATAGAAGCTAAAAAGAACAAAATGCTAGCTATGAACAGCAAATTGTTAACTAAAAGCTAAAGGTATCAAAAGGCTAGCTAAAATTAGCAAAATTCTAGCTAAAAGTATCAAAAAAATTAGAAGCTAAATATGACAAAAGGCAATCTAAAAGCTGAAGATAGCAAAAGTAACTAAAAGCACAAAAGTATCAAAAGACTAACTAGAAGCTAAAAATCTCAATGGGCCAGCTAAAGGCTAGCTAAGGTTAGTTAAGCTATAACCATTAGAATGGATGGTAAAAGCTAAAAGTAGAAAACTTCTACTTAGAATCATTAAAAACTAGTTAAAAGAATCATAAGACTACATAGATGGAAGCTAAAAGTATTACTGGCAAAAGCTAATAATAGCAAAAGTTTAGCCGCGAGCTTTACGTAGCAGAATGGTGGCTAAAAATAAAAGCATAGGAAGACATATATAGTTCAAGAATGCTGAAGCAGATTTTTGTTGGATTTTGAAAGAACTGAAGTCGTCTCTGTAAATCTATGGGGAAAATACTTTAAAATAAAGATAAATATATTTTGAAAGTGCTAAAGAGCACAAAATATGCAGAAGCTGTAAGATTGCATAAAACCCTACAGAAATATAAGAAACAGTTGTGTGAACATTTGCACTGTTGAAGAAACTAATATAGTCAAACTGGAAGCTTCAACTGCTGTTAAAATTAGCTCTTGGCTCTTTTTTTATTGCTAGATAAATAACACATGCTTTATTAAAAAAAACAAAAAAACATTCCAGCTGAAAGTATCATTGATTAAACCAAAACCTTTAGTCATGTTTCACATATAAAGATATATTAAGTGATACATCTTTGTATTCATTCTTAAAATTCATCACATAATGTAATATAACTCAATATATTTTGTATAATATGCATAAATGTCTTTTTTCTCTTCCAAAGAGCGCCCTCAGTTCACACAGCCTGAAAAGATGAGGAGGAGAGTGATCGCCTGTCCCGTCGGCAGCACAGTGCGCCTCAAATGTGCAGCTAATGGAACCCCTCGACCGGACATCGTGTGGCTGAAGGACGACAGGCCGCTGACGGAGCAGGAGGTCGGCGAGGGCCGTAAGAAACGTTGGACTCTGAGTCTGAAGAACGTGCTGCCAGAACACAGCGGCAAATACACCTGCAGGGTGTCCAATCGAGCGGGGGAGATCCACACCACGTATAAAGTCGAAGTCATCCGTGAGTGTCCTACAGAGCTGTGGGTTTATTAGTACATGCAGATGGGGTCAGGTGAATTAAATCAAATCATTAATGCTGTTAGTTCAGCTCATATCAGAGTCAGAGAGTCTGATCATCTTTAAAAGTAAGTCTGACCCTGATCTGTTCCAAAACCTGTAACAGTTGAAAAGTCGTCCCTCTGATCCACCCTCTGAAGCCAGAATGTGATCAGCAGGTCCCATGCCTTGGATGAATGTGCTTCAGTATTCATGCACACGAGACGCATACAGAGGACCTAAAAGTGAGGGCTTGTGCCTGGGTGTTTGCACAGAGGTGGTGGGGGAAGAAGGAGCAAGGCTGTTCAGCTCTGAGCCCCACGACTCAATCTGGAGCTGATTAAAGCCCAGCTGTCTGCCAGACTTTCTGAGCCCCCCCACCTCCTTCCCATGAGAAATGTGTGCTGTACAACCAGGAGCAAAGAAAGAGAGGAAGCTAATCACGCATACTTCTTGTGTTACATGTGGTATTTGTGCCTCTCTGTCAATTACAAGTTCAGAGCCTCAGGGCCGGTATGGACAACAGCAACTTCTGTCTGCAGAGGCGGTGTCGTCCCTGAAGATGCCTCTGACACTCTTTCTCTTTGTGTTTTTGCAGAGAGGACAAACTCCAAGCCGGTTCTGACGGGGACGCACCCGCTCAACACCACGGTGGACTACGGAGGCTCCACGTCCTTCCAGTGCAAAGTCCGCAGCGACGTTAAGCCCGTCATTCAGTGGCTCAAACGTGTAGAGCCTCACGAGGAGAGCCGCTATAACTCCACCATCGAGGTGGGGGATCACAAATTTGTGGTGCTGCCCACGGGGGAGGTGTGGTCCAGGCCCGACGGCTCCTACCTAAACAAGCTGCTCATTACTCGCGCCAAGGAGGAGGACGCCGGCATGTACATCTGCTTAGGCGCCAACACCATGGGCTACAGCTTCCGCAGTGCCTTCCTCACTGTACAGCCAGGTGAGGCTAATTATCATCCACCACTGAAAGGCAGGCGTGTACGTCTGTTGTATGTAAACATAAAACACATTTCCATAAAACAGATACCAACCCGTGTTCACAGTTTTGTTGACGTTTTCTCTGTAGTATGAAATTATTCTGTTTACTGTAGTAAAGTACCTTTAGAATGTACTCTATGTTTGTGTGTGGGCTAATTTTTCATAAATAAAAACCTTATTGTTTTTTTTTTTTATTCCAGACACAAAGCCTCCCATCATTTCCTCTTTCCCAGTTGCCACCAGCTCCCTCCCCTGGCCCGTCATCATCGGCGTCCCTTCTGGAATCGTGTTCATCTTCGCCACAGTTCTGTTGTGGTTCTGCCAGAGCAGAAAGCACTGCCCCCCTCCCAGCGCTCCGGCTCCACAGGCTCTGCACGGCGCCCACCGGCATCGAGAGCGGGACAGGGCCTGCGCCGCTCCCTTGTCCGGATCCTCCAACCCAGAGAAAGACTGCATGAGCTCCATGAACTACGAGGAGTACCTGGCCCAGCAGCAGCTCCTCCTCAGCCAGGGAGGACTGGCTGCGCCCCCTAAAATCTACCCGAAAATCTACACCGACATTCACACACACACTCACTCTCACGTGGACGGGAAAGTACATCAGCACCAACACATTCATTTTCAGTGTTAGTCGCAGTGTGACGGGGTCTCAGGTGTGGACTGAGCAGCTCCAGAGTGATGGAGCGTCACTCACCAGAAACTGTTGCTGGGAACGTGCGTAACAAAGGCCAGTGTGTTATTACATTAAAACTTCCACATTTGATGCCCAAAAGCTTGCACCACTAAAATCCATCTATCCTTGTCGTGCACTTAATGCAAATTTTTTTTAAGGATGCGACTTAAAAAGTGGCTGTCGTCCTCCTCAGCCGTCAGATTTAGCATTTTCTTAAACGGTACTCAAGATTCACAAAAGGGCTGGTTTTATGCTCCTACTCAGGTTGTCTTTGTGTTTGTTAATGAATGCTGACCACTACGTTAACGTTACTCCATCCCACGTTAGTTTCTTGTTAAAGGAGATATGGAAAAAGATTTAACTTTTCATGGCATGCAAACCTTGCCACAGACTGCAAGGGATGGAAGACTTTTCATTTTCCATGTTTATTATTTTTTTAAACTTAGTTGTCACAAGTCAGTAGTGATTCAAGATAAGCCAGCATTTTTTTGACCAATAGTTTATGAAGCTGTAGTCAGAATATTTAATTTATTTTCCTAAAAGAAATGTAAAGGTTTATTTTTCAGAGTAAGGCATTTTACATATCTAGGTAATGTTATGGAAGTATATTACTATTGTATATTTTTGAATACTTTGTTCAACTTATCTACATTTACTTCATCAGTATGTAATGTTATATTTGACAATCTGGTTTGGTGTATTCTGTTAAACATTTGAAAGTTTGATTAAATTACATAAATATTATCGACACGCCTCATTACTGGGCTGAGTCAATTTGATACATTTTGTTTAGTGAGAGCTGCAGATTAAGATCATTTCAGAGGGAGTGACCCACCTCGATGTCTCACAGGACACTTTCTTCTTTTGAGCAGGCTGAAGTGTCTGAGGGTGACACAGAGGGCAGCCAGCAGAGGGACAGAAGTGGTCAGGACAAAAGACTGAATAGACAGCGTAGACACAAGAGCAGTCTCACGGTCGCTTTTAGACGAGTGATGTTCCCTCCGCAAGACTACACCGAACGATCAGCATCTTTCCACAGTAAAGTGAATCGTGCCTCCTCTCCGCCTCTGCACCACCAGCCCTTTCAGCTCCAAATCCAAGCAGGATTTTCTTTCACCATTTAGGAAGTGCATTGTCCCACTCAGGGAGGGATGTGACAAGACCCCGTGATTGCTCAGAAAAGAAGGGGAGCTTTGTATCAGGTGAGCTTTTGCTTTGTTGCAAGTACTGTAGCTCGAAGACGAGCTCTGGCTCCACAGATGACTGTAAAGTGCAGCTGACTGCATGTGAATCTTAAACACAAAAACTAAACGTTAAGGGAACAAAACTAACCATAACCACGACTAAGGCTTTAAAACTCAAACATGGACAATTCAGTTACTCTGAAACCAAACACTGTCCTCTAGTGGTTAACTGTCATAAAGCAATAACGATCAAAAAGAAATCACACTTGTTAAAACTTTTTATTATTTTTACAGTATTACAGGAACAATAACAAACACAAAAATATAATACACAAGAAGATGAGCAGGACACAATAAAGCAGAGCGGAAGCAATGACTTCAGCCTTTCTGGACTTTGGATATCAGATCATCACAAAGCTTTGTAAGCTCTTCTGATTCTTTTTCCTGACAAAACAGAAAACACGTTTTCACACAGTTGCAAGATGTTTTACATGATTAACTTTAATAAAAAGGTTCCCTCACCTTCTGCTCCAGGCTCTTCTCCAGTGACTGAACTTTCAGTTGCTCCCGACGCAGCTGCACCTGAAGCGCTGAAAACTCTCCTTTGTATTTAGATCGCACCTCAGCGATTTCTCCATTTGCCCTGAAGATGAGAAATAAAATTTGTCCTAAAACTTAACTCGGTTACAAACAAAAGCAGAGTCAGGTTAGTTTCTTACTGGCCAATTTTCTCCTCGGCGTGAGCTTTCAGGGTCTGGTATCTCTGCTCCTCCTTCTTGATCCTTGCCAAGTAGTCCTGCGCACAGGACTTCAGAGTCTCCTCATTCTGGCAAAAAGACAGAAGAAGTGTACATTATATTCCTTTCAGCCTTATGGATTAGGATGAGCAGGGCTTGTCATCACTCTAAACTGACCTTTTTGTAACCTTCAATTACATTCTTGTACTTCTCCAGTCTTTTAAAAAGCTCGGCGAATGATTTCTCCATGGAATTCAGGTCGTTGGACACCTGCTCCTTCTCCAGAAGAGCATCGTTGAATTTCGCCTGGGCCAACTCCATTTCCTTCTCATGACCACCTAATTTATTGGCGAGGGGGAAAAAAAAGCTCAGTTTTTCCCATAAACTAACTGTGTGTAACACATAAACATTAACTTACTTATTATTTTTGCAATCTCAAGTTCATATTCAGCAATTATTTTCCTGTGGGGGGGGGGGGAAAGATGGCAAATGTCAACAATGAACAGCTTTTAACAGTGTTTAAAATATATACAGAATATAAATGAACTAACAACTCACCTCAATTCCTGGCCATCGTCCTGTAGCTTTTTTAACTCAGCACTCCACTGTTCCTCTTTTTTCTTTCCCTGTTTGAGAAAATTAACATTTTAGCAATAAAATCAGATCAATCACTTTGATTTGAGTTTTACAAAGAATTTTTACCTTGTGCTTTTGTTAACTGCATAAATATCCGCACAACAAAAATTTGTGTAAAATCAAAATTTTTCTCCAAACATAGGCCTTTACTACATAAGATGGCAACACATGGCAGTAAGGGCTGCTAAATCAAAATACTTATCTGATTGTATCCAGTTCTCATGCAGGTTCACACTGGTGACTGTGCTGCTTGTCCTATTGGACCTTACATCTGCTTTTAACACCATCGACTATGAGATCCTCATTTCTAGGCTGGAGAAGTGGGTGGGCATCACAGAGTCAGCCCTCAATTGGTTTAGATCCTACCTAGTTGACAGATCCTTTTGTGTCTCCATCAGAGATTTTAGTTCAGCATCGGCAGCACTTAAATGGGGGTACCGCAGGGGTCCATCCTTGGTCCCCTTCCATTCTCTTTATACCTGCTGCCACTAGGTGCTATTTTCCAGAAACACAGCATACCCTTTCACATCTAGGCCGATGACTGTCAAATTTAGTTTAAAATTTAGAAACGCATTCCTGTTTGGTAGCAGTCAGACCTCCATTGCCACACTACAACTGGTCCAGAATGCTGCAGTGTGATTTTTAACCAGTACAGGCAAAAGAGCACATTACAGCAGTTTTGGCCTCCCGGCACTGGCTACTGGTTCACCTTCGAATCCAGTTTAAAATCATTCTGTATGTTTTTAAATCACTGAACAGTTCTGCACCCTCCTATCTCGCTGATCTGCTGCAGCCGTATGTCCCACTGCATTCTCTGAGGTTTGCGGACCAGTTGCTTCTCTCAGTTCCAGTAACCTGTCTCAAGCGCAGAGGTGACAGGGCCTTCTCTGTCGCAGGCCCAAGATTTTGGAACGCAGTTAGGGTTTGTTTCTGTTTGTACAGCACTTTGGCCCTGTCGCTGTTTAAAGTGCTTTATAAATAAAATGGTATGGTACATAAAGCTGATGACAAATATTAGTGAGCAGATTAATGTGCTCTCTGTATTTTATTAGTAAACTACAATAAAACATTTGCTAGATTTTAAATCTTTTGAGTTGTAAATAAAAATTTCCAAACAAACACTGAACACTAGGGCTGGGCGATATCAATATTTTTAAAATACCGAGGTAATTTCATACACGATATAAAATTAGACTATATCGATATAAAACAAAGAAAGTCTCATACTCTACGTAGTTATAATTACACTAGAAAATCCAGTTTTTCCTCCCAGTCTGCGCCTTTACACGTCCCCTCCTCCTCTCCCTCACTGAATAAAACCCAGCCCCTCACCTGCTCCCCCTACCTCCTGCTGTGTAAAACTGTGAACAAGCTAGATGCATATGCAGCTATCAGTCCTTACAATAGGTCTTTGTTGACTCAGTGGAGACACTGGCGACATGGATGTGAATTCCTGATAGGTGTGAAAATGTCTGTGTAGCTGCTACAAAGGAGAGGTTTGGTGTTCTCGAGCAGCAAGGTATGATGTCGTCTTCTCATTAAAAACATGGAGACAAATATCCAGCTTACGGGCGATTTATTTGTTGCATTTCTTCTGACACAGCAGCAACCAGTAAAGCTCAAACATCAAGGCTCCGTCGGCGTCGGGAGAGAAAAATCTCCAATGCACGGCACTTTACACAGAGCGGTGTGTTCAGTAGTGTCGGAACAGCCACGGTGAATTCAAGAGCATAGAACCATTAAATTCAGAAAGAAACAAGCCATAACAAAACAGAACCTAGCTCAGTAAACAAGCCAACTAAACAACAATGGGAGCTTTCCAACAGCTTTGTTAAAAAAGGTTAAATGAATAATTCATTAGAATCAGATTTTTAAAGAGCAAGTCAGCCTTTCATTAGGTTTGCTCTGTATGTGTTCTGTTTAACTTTTAAGTGCACAGCTGTGTTTTTAGTTTTGTTATGCAGGGGGAAAAAAACAACAACACTATTTTGAGACAATTATTTTGTACAGTTGCAGCTATTTGTTAATAAAGGTCCTTGTGTGACAACTGGGACTAAGCTTTTGACTCAGAAATATATTTTTGTTATTACTTTGTAGAAAAAAAAGGTGTGTATATATACTGTATATTGCCATTCATCTTATCAAGATATTGTCCCATATTGCCCAGTCCTACTGAACACATAATTTGTTTAGTGTATTTGACACACCAGACCATTCAAATGAGCCACCTGCAAGTAAAGAGCAGAACGTACCTCTGCTTGTACTTTAGCGATAGCTGCATCCATGTCTTTCTGACTGTATTTCAGCACTTCAATGATGGCATCTTCAGTGTTTGTAGACTGGGGGAAAGGAGGGATGATGCTCTCAGCGACCAGAGTCTGAAAAGACATATGGTACAAGCATAATCAGGACAGTGAAGTGTTTTAGCCATTGTCCAATGGAAGATTTAGGAATAATAGCTCAAGACTAGACTCACCGGGAATGCCGTATCCTCCAACAGTTTGAGATCATCCTTTTGTGAGCCTTTTGTGTTTTCCTTATCTGCTGTTTGAATTTCAAGCCTGGAGGGAAAAAAAAAAAATGTGTTCACATTTGAAACATAATTTTGCTGTACAAGATATCTAAAGCAGAAAAAGCAACTCCAGCATTCTGTGAGAGCAGCAATCAGACTAAATGGAAACAGAAGTATGGTTTACCGTGAGGCCAAGGCTGCGGGGGCAGCAACGTGCATCTGAGCAGCCGGGCCTGCTGACTTCTTTGGACTCTCTCTCAGGAGAGGATCAAATTTTAAGTACAAGGATTGTTTACGAAGTGCAGACTCTTTAAACTTAAAAAAAAAGAAAAAAAAAAAAAAGTTATATATTTTTAAATACATGTAGTTCAAGCACTTACAATCTAAATATTCAGTTACCACACTCAGGACTTACAGTGCTGGAGCCAAACTGTTCAAGGTAGTCAATCTGCCCATCAAAGTCATTGGCCATAACTAGAAATGAAAATGATTGATTACCATCTTCTAATAATTCACAGACCAAATGAAGATGGGGAGACAAACTCCTCTTCAGAAATTTACTCACACATCGTTCCAGGAACAAACTCATCACTCATTTCCAACATGCCGGTTTGTGAGTTCTGGTCAGGTTGAGGTGGCTCAGATAACTCGGGGACATGCAGCATGAGTTGCTCACTCTCATGCTGAACTTTTTTGTCAGGATCAGAAGCAACCTTGTGATCAGCAATCTGACATTTTACAAAGGAGTATATAGTTATAATGGGGGGAGGTGGGGGGGAGACAAAATGACCTAAAAAGAAACTTTGTTCAAAGTTGTAACAAACTGAATTTCAGCTTACCACTTTGTGGCTGAGTTCAACAGTTGGCAAACTGTCTCCAGCCCTACAGAGAGCAAAAACAAGTCAGTTTCCACTAACAACATTTATACTGGACTGTGAAATTTTTGTGCCCTCACATACTGGATTCTCAAATACAAAGAGTTACTCACCCATCTGGAGATCCAGGCTTGTCAGTTTGCTCTGTTTCCTTGAGCACAGGGCTGGGTTTGTTGCTGCACTCTGGAGAATTAGTAATGTTTGTTTTTGTGCCAAAAGGACTGAAGTACGGGTCATCATATTTTTCATGGTCAAGAGAGTAAGAACCTTTAGGAAGTGGAATATCAGTAACATCACCAGCATCAGGCTTCACAGGAGCTTCAGATGTTGACTTTTCCTCTTTAGGTTTCAGAGCAGAAGGCCTTTTGCCAAATCTTTTGAGTGGTGGTTTTCGTTTGACGTCACCACCATCCCCAAAGGTAAACTCAAGTTTGACTGAAGCTGCTTGGAGTGGAGCATCAGCAGAGTCGGATTCAGCTGCGGGTAGATTGATAGGACCGTCATATACTGGGGTCTCTGTGGCTATGGGCTTTGCATCCTGGGCAGGTAACTCTTCGGCCACCTTAGCAGCCTCAACATCCACAGGTTTACCTTCTTCTGTGGGTGGATCATTATTAGGTACCGTTCTCTCAAGAACAGGTATATTGTGAATTTTAGAGCCCTCAGTCTGGAAAGGATCGATTGCATCAAGGTTGTCAAAATCCAAGATGTAAGATCCTTTTCCTGGAAGTGGAGCATCCTCCACAAAACTGCCTGACGTTTTGCCTTGATCAATGCTTGCAGACATATCAGTGGGTCGTTTCTCATCAGGTGTAGCAGAGTATGAATCTTGTTCTTCTGCAACTGGGATCTTTGGCACAGTCACAGTGATGACACTGCTCTCTGTGGAGCTGATGTTAGAGAAGTCAGCAAGTGAGTTCTCCACAGACAGGATGAATGGAAGAGTGTCATCCAGTGTGGGATTAATTGTGTTTGGCTCCTCCAAGATATTTTCTGGTTGAGGCTCAGTATTACGTGTAGGACTTTTATCTGCATGCTTTACAGGAGAGAGGGTCATCTTGTTAGAACCCTGAAATGGATCAATAGCATCAAGGTTGTCAAAATCCAACTGATAGCCGCCTTTGCTTTGTATAGGCATGTTGTCATCAGGATAAGATGATATCTCTGGAAAAAGTAAAGAGGGGTTTGAGCCAATTTGCCTACCAGAGGAAGAAAATTACTATAAATAAATAACACAATAAATATGACAAACTACCTTGTTTGGGCTGCTCAATGGGTTCCTGTGACAAAGTACTGCAAAAACAAGATTAGTGTTAATTAATATAGTATTATATTATTAAAAAAAGAAGACATATTAGAAGTATATGATGGTATTTACTTCAACTTATCCAAATGTAAGCCATCCATTTCTTTAGTGCACTCGTCCATACTTGACAAATTAACAGACTTGCTGGGGGACATAATTTTTTTAGTCACAGGATCTCTTCTTGGGGTCTGAAAACAAACCTAAACAATAATTGAAATCAGTAAATTAAGTTAAACATTATGCAGGTTAAAGAATATATTAAAATACACTGAAGGCTTGGTGATTTTATTTAATTGATTTGTGCAAGTTAGTGTACTCAAGGCTAAACATGTCAGTCAAAGAAGTTGCACAAATTGAATCTCAGTGCCAACATAAACAAAACAGTTTGTACCTTTATCCCCTTTGGCACGGTCTTGCTAGGAAGGTTCTCTGTCTGACGCAAGATAGATGGCCTTCCGGTTGGCTGATCCAGGGCAAATATATCTTGGCTTAAACTGCTGTGTTTTCCTGCTGGGATGACCCCACAATTCTCATCGTTCACCTCGACAGAACTCATGCTGTAAAAAACAAACAAAATTCAAGTTACAGGGCAGGGACAGACCGCTACACTCGAAATGGGGAGTCACACTGAAAGCTGCATTCTGTTGATAAGAACTTTCTAGTCAGGGTTTGGTGATATGTGTAACCAGAAGGGGTTAAAGTATATATACTGTATACCATAATAGCATTAAAAATCAAAACAGACCTGTCCAAGAAACTTTTGGCGCACAATTTTAGGAGGAAAAAATATATATACACATATATATTTAAAAAAATAAAACAACTATAACTTAAAGTAAATTCATTCAACCTTTATTTATACAGGCTAGTCTCATTTACAAGAGAGACTATACAACAAAACTAAAGATGAATAAGGAGTCCTGTCATGTGTTTGTTAATATTTGTTTACTTTTCAGCTGTTGGCAGAAAATATAAAGAAATTGCTATAAAACGCAAGCAGTTGCTAAATTCTGACCACGAGATAGTGCCAAAGTGTATCTTAAACTGCTAGATCAGGACTGTTCAACTGGCAGCCTGCGGGCCATTCAATCCAACCCACCAATGACTTCATAAAATTAAAAAAAAAAAAAAAAAAACAGGTGGGGGAGTTCTGTTTAGTGTATTTACGTAATGACGCTGGATGTCCGACCCCTGAGCTGCTGGCTTTCAGAAACTGTGGCCCACCGAGCGGTTGTGTTGAATAGTCCTGTGTGAAATTGATTTGTAACAAACTGACCAGTATTTAACTTGTTATAAGCTTTTAACCTGGACTCTAATTTTAGTGTCAGAGACATACGTTTAGTGGATTACTCGACTCAGTTTAGGGGCAAAACCTTATGCAACTTGTCCAGTGTGTGGAATCAGGTTAGGTTAAGTCTAGTTACACAGTATGTTATATTGACAAGTTATTATTACCTGAATTAATTTATTAACACTTGAGTTATTTGTACAGGAAGCCCTACGTTTACCTTATGCATACTCCCGTCCCGATATAAAGATATCTTAAACTACTATGGAAACTAATAACCTAGACGACTGCGGTAAAGCCATCCCTGGATTTGGAAACCTTACTCTTGCTCAAATCCAGAACGCTCAATTACAACAACCTTTACAGCTGGGCTGTATTTGCGCTGTTGCGTTTGGCCCCCGCTTACAAGGTGAATAACGTTCCAAAAAAAGCAACAGTTCACCTACATTTTCTTACTTTGATTCCACACATTTAAAGAAAGTTTCTCAACAAGTTTGTGGAAATCCAGCTGTGGGGTTTCAAGACATTTCGACTTTAATGCACTTTAACCCACAGCCCCAGATCAGTTCTGCTCATGTTCAGATATAATATTAACACTAGACGTTTTTAACTTGTGTCTGACACTACTCATCTAAAGCATGTTCCTCACCAAGTTTCAAGACAATAAGTTGTGGGGTTTAAAAAAAAAATTTAACTTTAATGCACGTCGGCACTATGTGTTTATTTGCAGATTAGCAATGCAAGAATTAAGATCTGGAACTGTTCCTTATGTACTCGAAAATGTGTATAAAGACCATGAATCAAATCTTAAGGACAAAAAAATAAAAAAAATACCAGTACCTGTTCACATTGTTGTCAGCATATCAATAAATGCAAATGGTTAAATGATTCTGGGAAAAGAGTTTTATACTTTCTGTGGACTAGACGCTGTGTGTTAAGGTCCAATGAAGCAGAAAACTCCACTATTGTCCTCAAACTTGATGAGAAACATCCTTTAGAGGAGTACTGTTGAACACAAGTAAAAATGTTGAGCGGTAATGTTTTCATTATTTAATTTGCCTATAAAACACGTGTAGTGCCAACTTTACTCAGTGTGTTGAAGTGCATTTCAATTTCTTTAAAAGCCCACAGATGAATTTCGACAAACTTGGTGAAAAATATGCTTTAGATGAGTAGTGTCAAACACACACACAAAAAAAAAAAAAAAGTCTAGTTGAACACGGAGGCCTCCACCCGTTTATGATGGACGAGAGGAGCCAGTTGAGGTGGCTCGGGCATCTGGTTAGGATGCCTCCTGGACGCCTCCCTGGCGAAGTGTTCTGGGCACGTCCCACCGGGAGGAGACCCAGAGGAAGACCCAGGACACGCTGGAGGGACTATGTTTCTCAGCTGGCCTGGGGGCGCCTTGGGATTCCCCCAGAGGAGCTGGCCCAAGTGGCTGGGGAGAGGGAAGTCTGGGCCTCCCTACTTAGGCTGCTACCCCCGCGACCCGACCCTTGATAAACAGAAGAAAATGGATGGATGGGTTTCTTTTCCCAAAGATGGCCTTCTTTACTCCTCTCTCAAACCATTGTTCCTCTCTATCAAGGGTATGAACATCTTCATCCCTGAAAGAGTGACCGCTGGCCTGGAGATGAGTGTAGACCGCAGAGTCCTGGCCTGCAGTGATCTCGATCTTCTGTGCTGGTCCATCCTTTTGGCCAGTGGCTGTTTAGTTTCCCCGATGTAAGACTGATCACAGCCCCCCTGACACTGAACAGCATACACAACATTACTCTGTTTGTGCCGGGGGACTGGATCTTTGGGATGAACCAGTCTTTGCTGTAATATAATCTAATGTTGCCTCTGGGATGTCAAGTTTAGAAAATAAATGTCTCAGTTTCTCTAAAACTTCTAAAACATATGGAATGACCACTGGTCTACATCTGGGTTCCTCCTTTTCACCTGATGGCTGACTGGAGTCCTGGCTGGGTTTCTTCTAACCGTTCATCATCAACAACAACAAAAAGGGTAAATCGTGTCATTTGGACCAGTTTCTGCAAGTGAGACACGATTTAATCTTTTTTGTAATCTACCTGGATGATTGATTACAACCCTTTTCGTTCATCGTTAACAGGGCGGAGGCCTCCGTGTTCCAAGTGCCCCCCTAATGCTGTTATTGCTAGTAGCACTCAGCCCTCTGTGAATAGCAATAGGACCTGACCTATGTTAGATTTTTCTACCTGGGTTATTGAGCATGCATCAGGAATCCGGGAAAACTTTACCGCAGCCCTTGATGCTAGCTTAACCGTTAGCTTCAGCGACTCGAGAAAAACGCTTCAGCTTGAAGTAAACAGAGAAAATAATTAGTAAGGTTTTGTTTTTCATCATTAAAATTTAGTAATCACTCGAGAAGTGTTTGAACGAGTACCTACGCCTGACACCCAATTCTGTCCCGGACAAACGTGGGCAAGCAAAAAACAAACAAACAATAACCGTTGTTTCGTTACAAACAGTTTAAGTTAATTCAAACCATAAAACAAGTTTTATTTGAAGAAAGCATTTTGAGATGGAAACGTACAATCTTGTATTCACCACCTACCTCAAAACCACGGTATTCTTGGCAAAAAACAAGGAACGAATATGCTTTTGAAAAGTCCCTGTCCCTCCGCAGTATGTGGAAGACACAGCCGTTAGGAATTTAAAAGTCACAAAACGCACCAATTAAACAGAGGGAAACGTTCAAACGTGCGCGCTTCCGTGTTAAACAGCCAATCACAAGCGAGAACGGATATGAGCAGACAGGAAAAGTCAGCCAAAGATGACAGAGATTTCAAGATAGTTACGTTTTTATGATACCCATTTAGGTTTTGCGTTGCTTTTTTTTCGTTAAAGAAATAAATATATTTGCCCCATTCCTCTTTATTAGACTATTTTCAGTATTGAGTTTAGCCATTTACTAATTAATTTACCTTACACAAAAAGTGTAGATAATAACTGGCGGTATGCCCCTTTCTAAATTCGTGAATTTGATCATTATTTTGTTATTATATTTTGTTGATAGTCTTTTGTTAAAAAATCTGGCATTTTCCCAACACATTTGACATTGTTTAGCAGACAAAATAAACAATTGCGAAGATCTTGTATCGTTTGGCATCTACAATGTATAAAATGTGAAAATTTTAAGGTCATTAAAGAAATGTGAGGGTGTAGGACGATTTATTTTCTCTCTCTCTCTCTCTCTCTCTTGGCTTTTGAGCCATTGGGATGCCATACTGCTGCACATAGATAACTATGCCGCTGCAGGGATAAAATTGGTTTGTGTTTGTTTGTTTTTTGTTTGCATGTTTTTTTGTGTTTGCGTGTGTTTTTTGTTTGTGTTTGCATTTGATTTTTTTTTTTTGTGTTTGCATTTTGTTTGTGTTTGCGTGTTTTTGAGTTTGCATCATACATGTGTTTGCTGCGCGTTTGCACCCGTCGGCCACCGTAAAATTGAGCTTTAAATGTGAACAGACGGGGATAAGGAGGGAATCATTTTTGTATTAAAAGTAAAACGTTGTTTTTATATTTACACAACACAAAATTACAACTACAGAATTTAGTGGGTGGAGGTTGTGAGGTTATAAGCATTTCGCCATCTGCCACTGCAGAAGCAGCAGCAGAAGTGTCAGTTCTCACATTGTACCACTTGGTGGCGGTAATGACCAAATTGTTGTTTGACACCTGCCAAGTTCCAAAGAAAACCTAAGAAGAAGAAGAATTATAACGAAGAAGAATCAGCCCGCCAATTTTCAAGGATATAAATAGTGATTCCTGAGCTTAAATATGGTTTTGAAAGAAATATAATTTACCCTGTAACGATTAATAAGACTTTGTTTCATAATGCAGTTTAACGGAAAAGGTAAACCGACTCAATATACTGCCGTTTTTGCCTTTTTATTGGCGTTTGTAGCTCTTAGTGCAAAGTTAGGATACGGGATCCAAAATGTTTTTAGCTTCAGTTATTCAGCGGATGTTTTAATTATTTTACCATTTTGCTTACAGGATTTGGGGAATCATCCCTTCTTGCTGCCAGGTAATATATCCATGTCTGCGTTCATGACTGCATTTTAGGTCCACGCAAACATCTCCCTAAAAGTGCAGATATTAATCGTTAAAACTAAACTAGCTGCCTCACACTATCTTGGACAAATAACAGGTTTAATCTGCATGATTCTTCACATTGTGAAGTTGTGCCTCTTCTCATTACCAGTTTGTGACTGAAAAGCCATTCATCATATCAATCATTAAAATTAATCATCCAATCATTTACTTGCACTTCTTCTTGCCATCTTGTTTTAATGAGTGCTCTTTTCTGGTATTACAGTGGTGACAGTGACTCCATTAAAGTTTTTGTCCGAGTGCGACCTCTGACCCAGGGTACGGGGCTGACCACAGATGGAGATCAGAATCTGTGTCTCTCCGTCACCTCGTCCAGCACCATTCGTCTGCTCTCAAAACCAGAACCACGAACCTTCACTTATGATCACGTAGCTGACATGGACACATCTCAGGTATTTGAACACTTGGTTACTGAGATACTGGTTTCATAACTAGATAACTATATTTAGTTGTTGTTTTTTAACAGTGTCTTATTGTGCATTCTTCTTCTTTCATTCAACAACAGGACTCTGTATTTAACAGTGTAGCCAAGAATATTGTTGAGTCCTGCATGAATGGATATAATGGCACTATATTTGCTTAGTAAGTGCTTTTATTTGTATCTGATATGAACAAAACCATTTACAGTTTTTGATACATAATGTAATGGATTCCTTTAACTCCTGCCTTTATTTCTGCAGTGGGCAAACAGGTTCAGGAAAAACATTTACCATGCTTGGTAAGATTTTAATGCTGCTATTTTATTCTATAAATTAAAAGAACAAATTTAAAAGACCAGTCAAAAATTTTCGTTCTCATTTTAGGACCGTCTGAGATGGATAACTTCACAGATGAACTGAGAGGGGTTATTCCACGAAGTTTTGAGTACCTGTTCTTTCTCATCAACAGAGAAGTGGAGAGGGTGAGCAATGATGTTTCATCGCTGTGAAGATGTTACACATCTACATTATTTGTTTTCTAAAATCTGCTTCTTTTCTTTGATAGTCTGGCAAGTCCAAGAGTTTCCTTTGCAAGTGTTCATTTATTGAGATATACAATGAACAAATATATGACCTCCTGGACACAGCTTCTGCCAGCCTTTTTCTTAGGGAAAACATCAAGAAAGGCGTGTTTGTTGAAGGAGCTGTAGAGAAGTTTGTAAACTCGGCAGCTGAGGCTTACAAGGTATGCATATCTGTTCTGAAATAACTTCTATAAGGTTAATGCCAAGTCTGACTAGTTAGAGTAGCTAATAGTAAATTATTAATGTGAGAAAAGCTTGTTGCTTTCCATTGCACTGTGATTAAATATTTAAATAAATATTGTAACCTTTGTAAGAAATATATATTTTACTGTAAATATTTTGCATTTGTAATCACCTAGGTGCTGTCTATGGGCTGGCGTAATCGGCGTGTGGCCTCCACCTCCATGAATCGTGAGTCTTCAAGATCTCATGCTGTGTTCACGATGACGTTGGAGTCCAAAGAGTTTGTCAATGAAGTGGTGAACATCCGAATGTCTCAGCTGAACCTGGTTGATCTGGCTGGATCTGAGCGACAGAAAGACACTCACACAGATGGATCAAGGCTCAAGGTAAAGTTTCATCCTGAATGCTCACATGCTGATACGTTGGTGGTGTTCTTTTCCCTGGTTTGTAACAGTTCACTGTTGGCTTGGCTTTTTTGCAGGAGGCCAGCAGTATCAATCGCTCCCTCATGTGTCTGGGTCAGGTAATCATGGCACTGGTGGACGTATCTAATGGGAAGCACCGCCACATCTGCTACCGAGATTCTAAACTCACCTTCTTGCTCAGGGTATGTATCTGCAGATGCAAAACATATTTTAGCATGGTTTAAATTGGAGATTTAATTTCAGCTGATTTGGAAATCAATGTGGAAACCAAATAATTGTGTCATCACTTGTGTCGAATCATTGACTTGCATTTAAAGTCTTTTCTTATTATTTCAGGACTCTCTTGGAGGAAATGCAAAAACTTACATTATAGCTAATGTCCATCCTGGTTCAAGATGTTTTGGAGAAACACTGTCCACATTGCACTTTGCTCAAAGAGCAAAGTTAATTAAAAATAAGGTATATTTTGTCAAATAATTTACCAGAACTTTTCAGATTAAATCTTGATTTATGTAATGAAACTATTATTTATTTCCTATGTAATTATGTTTTCTTTTAGGCTGTTATCAATGAGGACACACAGGGAAATGTGAAGCAGTTGCAGGCGGAGGTGAGAAAGCTGAAGGAGCAGCTTGCTCAGGCATTGGTCTCTCAGCGAGTGGACTTTGATAAAGACTCTGCACCAGGAGGACCTGAACCCCCCATGGGTAACTGTAAACATATTGTGAAACATGTTCATTTTTACCCATCCAATATCCTGTTTATCCACTTACACAAATATTTGTTGGTTATAATTCTCTTACCAGGTCAGTCCACTGAGCTTCAGGATGATGTTTCATATACAGCAAAGTTTATGGGCGCTGTTCGTCTGTGGAAGAAGCAAGAGGAGGAGAAGAAGGTGAGGAGATTTGAACTTAATATAGAAAATGATTTGATTTTAAGAAATAAAATGTACAGAAGCCACTTAACAGTTTTGTTTGTCTCCCCTCAGATGCTGCTTAAGAAGGTGGCTCAACTCGAGGAGGCCTGGACACAGAAAGACAAGTTCATCCACTCCAGCAGAATGATCATCCGGTTTCGAGAAGAACACATCTCTCGTCTTGAGAACAAGCTGAAGGCCGGACAAAGCTTCATGTCTGATATGGAGTCTCAGGCTTTAATTGATCAGCTGAAAAAAGAGATTAAGATCTTGAGTGATCAGGTAAAATATTGACATGTTTTTAAGCTTTTTAATCCACAGTTGAAAACTGTCTCTGCACAATATACTTCTACACTGTACGGCTGAGGTCCTATTGTTTCAATGCTATTACATCCAACAACCTTTTTTAACATTACTGTAAGAAGCTTTAATAATATCTTCAGTCCTGTATCATCTATAATTTCTCCCATCGTTGCAATCATTTGTTTTGTTGATCCATAACTTTTGTTTTGCTGTTTACCACCATTTTTCTTCTTCTGCCCTGTAAGGTTGATCATCATCCAAAGATGACTCGGTATGCAGCAGAGAATTACAGCCTCAGAGAAGAGAACCGTCTGTTACGGTCTCTTGAATCTGTGATGAAAGCTGAAGAAGTCTCCGCCCAAATTTCTGCTGAGCTGGAAGAGGCCTTTCAGAGGGCACTGGAATCAGAAAAACTCACAGGAAGTACGATAGTTATTATTGTCAAGTAATATAAAAACCCTGCTGTAAAACTAAATATCTCTTACATGCAGTTTCAGTGATCACATGTTGTTTCACAGGTTCCACGGCCTCTTCTGTCCTGGGAACAGAAGCAGGGTCTGCAGCCGCAATCGAAAAGCTGAACGCCAAACTGCTTCAGAAACAGTCAGACCTCACCGCTGCCCTCCAGGCCTTTGAGGAGTACAAAGACGTCACTAAGTAGGGGGATTAATCACAAAAGAGTTTTATTCTAAAACGAAACTCTTCCAGTGATTTCCTGAGAAAACTGATGAGCTGTTTAGAAAAAGACTTTTCAAATCCAAAATCTAGAAGTTGTTTTCCTTCATGAAATCTAAGAGTACATCTGAATTCACAAAAAGCTTATAATTTCTGTACTTCATTTGATCTTGCAAAAGTTCTGCGATGAAACGTTCGGCGCCTTTTTTTCAGTACGTTTTGCACATTTTGACGTGGTGCTTTGCGTTTTAGAAAACAGCTATCCCAGTTGGAGTCTGAGAAAAGATACCTCGAGAAGTCCAACAGGCATTTGGAAAAGATTTTGGAAGCCACCCATGCCTATAAAAAACAAGAAGTCTCTGAACTTAACAGAATTCATGTTGAAACTATAAAGGTGAGCACACTTTAAAATGTGTCCTTGCGTAACAGGCATGTATAACAATTGTAAAGATTATCAACATGAAAAGACAAAACTGTTTTATCATTAAAATGTATGTTATAGATTCTCACTACGCCTACAAAAGCGTACAACCTGCGGTCCCGCCTTGTGCCCCACGCCAGTCCAGAACACCTGAGTGAGAATTGCAATGACGGAGACAGCATCTGGTCTGAGCAGCCTCCAGCTAACATGAATGAGATGGCTTTGACAGAGGAGCTGTGCCAAGTGCAGGTGTAGTAACGTTGAGTATCCTTCTATGTGAAACAAATAAAGAGTTCTTGCAATAATTAAAGCACTTCCTCGTTAGGATCAAGTGAGTCGAGTACACGCACAGTTAAACGAAGAGGAGCTGAAGAACAGCAAGTTGTTGCAGCAAATTGCTAAACTTGAGGAGCAGATTACCATGTTGTCCCAAGAATCTGACCACAAGGATGAGGTATAACTCGCTTATTGAAGCCTAAATATTTTGAATGCTTATCTGTGCTGGTTACTAAGTGTTTACAACATATACAGCAACTTTCCACTGAAAGAGCCAGTAGAAATAAAGACCAGCTTGCCTTTCAAGAGTCTGTGAACAGTCTGCAAGAAAATCTCCTTTCTGAGCAGCAAGCTTCAGAAGGTTAGGTTCTGATCGTTTTACTTGGTGATTTTATTTTTACCCAAAGGTTGTTCTGTTTTTCCCCTTAATAACCATTGAGCTTTTGTCCTGTTTCAGTTCTAAGAACGGAGATCCGAGACCTACGCTTGTTGCTGCAGTCATCTGACAAAGAGCTGGCCTCTGTGAAAAACGAGCTAAGAGGCGGTGAGAGCGAACATCATCGAGAAATAAGCGAGCTCTCCAGCAGTCTGATCAGCACACGCCTCCAGCTCGATAAAGTCCAGTAAGCAGACGTTCAATGCAAAGTGTTCTGCTCTTGTATGTCTAATGAGTTTATGTGCTAAAATGAGCAAAATCCTTGTTCCAGGCTGGAGTGGGAGCAACTTCTGGAACAAAACCGAACTCTGCAGGATTCCTTCGACCAGCTGCAGGCAGAGGCAAAGTTTGAGGCAGATCAGGCAGGACAGCAACTGTGTGACAAGCAGCAGGAGATTGATCAGCTGAACGCAGAGGTCACGGTAAGGATAACATACAACTTTTGTTCTTGGTGACTCAACCGTCCTGGTATTTAGACTTGATTTTGTTTCTCGTTTTACTTTAGGATTTTAAAAGTGCTCTGCAAACTGAACAAGGGCACACAAGCAGCCTGATCTTCAAGTTACGAGAAAACCAAGAAAGCACATCAAAGTGAGCTTTGCACAGTTTAGATGATTTTTGCTTTAAAATGGTTTTTAGGATCATCAATCACTCTGGTGCTAACATGAGTTTCTTTCAGAGAGCTTATAGAGTCCATGGAGCAGAACTCACAACTCAGAAAACAAGTCTCAGACCTGAAGACGCAAAATCAACAGCAGGTCAGTCCAAAGAACAGTAGCTTGTAAATGGTGTAATATTAATCACAGCATTGTACTTCAACCTGGTGTTTCTGTTTTAAAGTCAACTCAAATTGCCGATCTTGAGCAGAATTTAACAGCTGCCACCAACAAACTCACAAGCTTGGAGCAGAATAATAATCAGGACAAAGTAAACTATATCTCAAATTGTTTCTTTAAATATGATCTCAGCATGTCTCCTGTGCGTCTGATACATCTGCTCCTCATTTGGCAGGACGTTCTTTTAGACCTAATGAGTCAAACCAAAGAGCTTCGTGCTGAGCTGAGCCAGAAAGATGAGACCATTATTTACCTGGATGGAGACATCAAAGACATCACAGTACTCCTATTCTTGTTTTTACCCTTTCTCAGTCGTTAATAACGTTGCTGTTGTTTTGAAGTGTACCTTTTCTCTCACACTACCACAGTGCACTGCATACTGCTCCATGCTTACAATTATTTTCAATATCTTTAAGGCTAAATACAATGCTGCTTGCCAGGAGAAGGAAAACATCCGTGAGCAAAACCATCAAATGCAGGCAGAAATCTGTGAACTTAAAGAAACTTTAGAGAGAAATGTGGCATCTAACAAGATTGAGGTAATGTACTGTGTATATTTGTGTGTTTATGTGGAGCGTTATACATTTAATGTTATGTTTGTTTATGTTTATTGCACCTAATGTTGTATTTACCTCAAAACATTTTCCCTGTTCATTTCTACTCATTGCATTTTAATGATATAATTGTTTTCTGTAGGTTGAGGTGTTGCAGGAGGAGATTGCATATGCAACTGATGAGGTTGAGAGACTCACCAAGGTCTTAGATGAGCAAAACTGCCTCCTGCAAGCATCTCAAGAGCAAGCAGCCCAGAAGGACGTTGCCATAAAGGACCTAGAGCAGAAGGTGAAAGTATATTTCACAATGTTATTGCAGAGAACACAGTTAGCCACAAAAATAGTGACAAAACTAAATAATGATAATAAAAAAGCATATTCATACCAGGTGAAAGAACAGCAAGAAGCGGTTGAGAAAATGGTCAGAAATGGAGGTGTCAACGCTGCTGAGCTGACTGTTACGCCTAAATCATTAAATCGGGTAATTCCTCCTTATATTTTTCCGTTGTGTTTAAAACTACCCAAAAATACGGAGTGTGTGATGTGTTTTACTGTCAGAATGTCTTTTTACTGCCCAGAAGCCAACATAAATAAAAGCCTTTACATATTTCTCTCATTTCCTCGGCCTTTAAGACGCCTTGTGGCCTGGGCAGCTTTAACAGAAACCTGAATGAGGTGTTTGAGAGCCAGGAGCAGGAGCTGGAGAACAGACGCTCCTCCATGATGACCATGGAGATCCTTCTAGTAGAGCTGAATGCTGAGAGGACTGCCAAGAATGAGGAAATTCAGAGGCTCAAGGTGTATAGTTGTGCGAACATATTTAATATACATCAGAATTGCATTTGAGGTGAGCTCCAACGTTATTCATCTCGTCCTTAGGCTGAGCTGACTGAGAAAGAGGTGGTCCGAATGGAAATCCAGGGTTTGCTCGACACATTTTACACCAAACAGAACCTGTTCAAACAGGCTGACAATAACAGGTAGGACCCCTTCATCTAGTCAGTCTGCCATCACCATCATCATATTAAATTGGTAAGCTGAATGTTATTGTCCTTTCCAGTGAGGACTTCAGTGAAGCAGTAAGTCAGACTTTGTTGAAAGAGCTGCAGGAGGAGAGAGCTGAGAAGGTTTGTATGTTTCTGCTGATCTTATTTACTCTCTTGAATGACTATTTAATTCACGCTTATCTATAAACAGAGCAAAACAACACAGAAGCTGTTCAATACTCAGAAAAGGTAAGTAAGCATCTGTAGAGTCGTTTTGTCAAGTGACCTTGTTTTTGTAGATTTATGTTGTTTCAAACTTGATGATGATAAGCAATCCTCTCTTTTTTTCCTTCCTGATTAGACTGCAGGAGCAGGAAACTACGTTGGCCAAGTCCCAGACCTGCGTTCAAGAGCTGACCACTGAGCTGAGGAACCGCTGCCTGGAGCTGAGAGAGCTGAACCAAAGGATTTTTGATGAGGAGAAACTACTCCAGGTGAGAGAGAGAGAGATGTTTCAGCTATGGATGATTTCCAACTTTTATACAGCAGACAGAGAAGGGGAAAATAACCACAAAGCACGATTAAAAATTAAAATGGAGACTCAACTTGAGTAATATTATAATTTTTCAGGAGAACGAGGTGCTCCGCAAGCAGAATATAAAACTTTCAGAGGAGAATGGAAAGCTTGTCGGACACAAGAACCACAAACAAAGGATTGAATACCTGGTTAAACTGAAAAAGGACAACACGAGACTTCATGAGGTAACATTTCTTAAAATTAAACAATGCATACTTTATGGTATTTGTAAATGCATCATTTTAGTTACATTTGTTCACTTCGTTTTGATTTCAAGGAAAACGAGAAGCTCCGAACAGAGATCAGCTTAATGCGAGACAGCAGTGTTTGCCAGCCGCTGGAGACAATATAAACCGCTCACTTGGAACTGAAATGGCTACTCATCCTTATACATATATTTTTTTACTTTGTATATGAAATAGTATTTGTTGTTATCTTTTTTCAATGTGCCTCAAAATTTCACTCATAAGTAAACTCATCACTTGTTAATGTCAGCAGTAATAGTTATTGTTCTTCGTTTTTGATAGAGAGCCAGAGAACTCCCAGACTGTGACAAGATCTATTTGTGTACTTCTTTTCCTTTAAAGGTACACTTGTACATCCCATCTCTTTGTTCTCAGGTTGCATAATGTTATTCTCATGGTGTACCGGTAGTTGATTTTGTCTGGTGCTGTAATGGTGTATTATTTCATTTGTGAACCTGATGGGTGTATTTTTATCTGTCCTTCTCCATCGAATGGAGATGCACAGCAAAGTGCTTTTTTGTGTACTGATAATTCTTTAAAAAAAATACTGTAATAAAAATATTTCTAGCTCGTATTGCAGTAAGTTTTATTTGTTTTTCATCTTGTGATCATGCCAAAAACTAGAACCCCGAAAAACATCAGAAATTGTCATTAGCTTTCAACACTATAAATATCCAATATTACTAACTTTATGCCTAGATATACAACAAAAGTGTAGATGTAGCAAAAACGTTTCCTTTAAATGTATCGTCAAATAAATATAGTATATATATTTATTTATTTATTTCTTCTTTCGGCTGCTCCCTTCGTCAGGGGTTGCCACAGCAAACTAAGTCGAATGAAGACATTGCAATTATTTTTACGTCTGATGTCCTTCCTGACAACCTCTGTGCCACCACTGCTATCCTCAAATAAATATATTAAGTCATTATTTTGAGAAAGAAGCTGTACATCTCGAGATGAGACCAGTAAGTTTGTCACTTCTAATGTGATGAAAATAAGCTAAGTGTGTTCTTTCTCAGCTTCCGTACACCATGTGGCGTTAGTAAAGAGCTCTATATTTTTAAATAAAATATCTGTCAGCTCTTATCTGGGGAAATATGTGAACGTCTATATCTTGAGCTAATTCTAACTGGCAGCCTTTACTTCCCATATATATGTATATCTAAAAAAAAAAACAACATAAAAATCCTCAAAAAATTACCGTATTGTATTTGCAGTTTTCGCTGTAACCACCAGAGGGCGCTGTTGATATCAACGTTCATTCGCCGCGAGACGCTGGGCGGCCTCGGGTCAAAGTCATGGATCAGGCCAGCACTTTCAACATAAAAAAATCTATCACTGCTGAACAAATTTCTAAGTGGTTTACCTCGGGGACCTCATTTGTCAGCATTAAACTTTCTGATGAGGTGGTTGAAAGAAAGAGTGATGGACCATCTTCGACAGAAACCAGGTAGGGGAAAGAAGGCTAACTAGTCCGTTAGCTTAATTTGGCTAACAACATGTGCTAGTTGAAGAGTTTCAGAAACGCTAGCAAGCGCTTCATTTTAATCTACACGATGGCGTAGGCAATCTAATCCATTTTGTGCGCTATTCATATTATTTAAAATTCACATAATAAAAATGGTATTTGGACATTTTTTACTCTTAAAGGAGGCGGGAAATAGTTTGCAAAAGTTGAAATACCTCCTTACCGATAGGTGGCGATCATGTCCACACAGACCTCTGTCAGTCATTGCGCATTTTATTTTTAAAAATTGTACCTTTATTTTACCTGGCGAACAGTTTCACATTAATCATGTAAGGCTGCGGTTGTGCCTGGTGGTAAAGTGCAATATCTGCCATCCCAGTGATGTATTTTACAGGGGTGCAAATAAAAACCTGTTGTAAAGTTAAGTTCTGTCATCCTGAATACAAATTGTTACATATGTAACCTGAACCATGTGATTTCAAAAGCTGTTTTTTGTGTGTGTCCTTTTGCAGATGCTTGTCTACAGAGACAATGTTACTGATCTTTAGTCAACATTTATCATAGGCTTTTATGTCTGAAATTTTTGCAATCATATTTCCTGATACATGCTCAATAATCCAGGTAGAAAAATCTAATTTGGACGAATTAATTTATTTTTTTTTAAAGACTTTGTCAGTCTTTTGGATTAAAGAAAAACGTTTCAACAAGTTAAAAAAAAGTTCACGCTCAATAATCCAACAATTTTCAGTCAGGTCATCTGGACGGATGACCTGACTGAAAATTGTTGGGTTTCAACAAGTTTTTAAGTTTTATTATAATTTTGTTAATCCGTCCAGAGTACCTGACTTTCTTAGATTTTTAATCAGATGTTCACAAGTAATTCAAAATGTTGCTTTGTTAACATGACAGCTTGAGTTGTCAGCGTTTATTTGATTACCGTTTTCTTTTTTCCACTGGCATCAAAAATCACAAGGTGATAGAAAATGTTCACACAACAACAAAAAAAAAATTAATTGCATTTATTTATTTAATAATTGATTATTATTATTTTTTTAAGTTTTTAAAGACACTACCACAACACAACAACCTTTCATATTTATTGTTTTAGAAGTTGGACACGTTAACAGTTTGGTCACACATTCTCTTTATTCAGGTTTGCCACATCTACATGAGACAATGCCTTTAGAAACATCTCATATTCTACAAATTTTACTTAAAGTTTGCCACGGGGACTACTTAACTCACCGTCTCCAACTGCCTTGAAAGACATGTGATTGTAATTGTTTATCTGTGTGCGTGGGTTTGTTTGACAGCAAAATATTTCATGAACCACTGGAGAGATTAAAATAAATCTCATTGAGTGTACCTCTACAACTACTAAATCGTTGGAGTTAGATGGTTGCCACAACCAATTAACCTTAGTCAACACAAAAATAACTAACTCTCACTGAGTGCCAACAAATCAGTCAACGTCTGTGTTTAAAACTTTGATGTGCATTCCTTCAAGGAGCAATAGATTTTATTTCAGTAAACATAGATTAAATAGAAAAAGCAAACACTCATTAGTATAATAATATATATTTTTTTTTTATTTGTTTGTTTTTGTTCAACCAACCCTTCCTTTACTATTTATTTATTTATTTATTTTATTCAGAAAGGTAATTTTCCATCACATTCATTGATTACAGCTTTAGTCATTTAAGGTCATATTAAAAGATGGAGGCAAAAAAAGTCCAAATGAATTATGTCCGTGTTGCCTTTCTAATGTTTTCTTTTATAGAACAATATTAAAAATAAAGAGTTGAACAAAGCTGGGTGTGTGTGTTTGTGCGTGTGTGTGTGTGTGTGTGTGTGTGCACCACATCAAACCCTAAGAACAGTAAGAATAAAGGATAGCATCACATAATTCACAAGTACAATCAAGTAAAGTCAGATCTAGTTGGTTTTACATACTCAGTCCATTTGGTCCAGATCTGGTAAAATTTTTCTTTTTTGACTATATATATTTTTTTAGTTCTATCCTAATATTTTCATGTTTTTGTCACAAGCATGTTTTAACTAAAATGATACATAAGAATTTGGTCTCCATGTTGATGGGCTACTTTATTTTTGTTTTATTTCCACTGAAACTCAAGATCACATATTAGAGTTGTGTCTTTAATAGTGTTGTATCATGGGTGTCTTTGGGTCCAAGAGGTCCTGGATAATAATATGGAAGAGCCCAGTCCCTGTTTGGTGTGAATGAACTGGAGTGCCTCATGGCCCAGTCCACATACCCAGAGACTGTTGGGATCTCTTCTCTTTTGGGATCTCCACAGTTGGGCACTGTGGGTGTGACAAAGCCCTGCTTCATTTTGTAACGACTAGTCCGAGCCTCCATTGGTTTGTGCTGCGCTGGAAGGGGCTCGTCTTCATTGTATTCTCTTTGGCTCAGGAAGTCCATCAGGACCTGCTTGAAGACAGCTGCCAGCTCCCAGGGCCGTGTGTTGTTAGTGGCAAGCATTTCACGAAACCTGCAAACAAAATTATGTTGTTTTACCATTTTAAGCCACTTTGTTGTGCCTTTATGTTACCTATCATCGAGGCTTAATTTGAGCCGGATCCGGGAACTGTTTTATTCTGACAGGGTGCTTTCCGGTAACCGTTTGCTTGGATCCGGTAACTCTCAGGCCCAATAATAATAAACGTATGAACAAATTTGACTACCATGACCAACTAAAACCTATATTGGATATGTTAACTGAAAATAATTACACAAACACTAATTTTGAGCTTTCTAATGTCATATCAGAGCTGACACTTCACATTTTCGCTTCTACTCTTAAAAAAATCTCTGCCCCTAAAAGTTCAGTCATGGGTAATTTTATTAAAAAACACAAAAATATAATTAAACGTTTTGCACTATAAGTTCCTGCCTTTTTGTGAACAATCTAATGTGTGACTCACTGCAGGGGTTATTTGAACTTTCACGATCTCGGCTCATAAAACGTTTTGTCGTGCTGTCAGAGTATTTGTGTCGGAGCGACCAGGACGCTTTTCTGAATTGAGCAGGAGGGGGATTGACAGAAACTTTTCTAAGCCAGTGACAAAGCACTAAATATTAGGCAGGTTTTTTAAGTGTTTCCAAAAACTTAGAGCATCGCTTGTTGTCTCATGGTGGGAGCAGGAGGAGGATGAGGAGGTGCACCTGACCGCGGTGTGGGATATACTAAATAACTAGTAAGGTATGAAATGAGCCTGAACTCAATTTACTTATAAATCACACATAAAGCGTTTAAAAGTAAATTATAAATATGAACTGGCTTCAGTTCAATTTTATCCTCTTTTTGGGGGGGGGCTCAAGCACCCCTAAATTTTAACTCGGCACCTCTGAAAAATAAACATCATTAGGATTGTATAAAGAAACAGTTCTCCAACTTTAGATTCACCAAAATATGGAATAAATGATTAGAGTCTTGAAACGGGCTAGTACAATCTGTTTGTTGTTGTTGTCGTTGTTGTTGTTGTTGCACGAGTCGCGCCACCTGTCAATCAATCCAATAGGCATTTCAGCAACTGACCAGTCAGCGACCTCAACGCAACGGTTTTGCATTACAAACGCTCTGCAGGCAGAGATTTCAATAATAATTGAGTTTTATTAATCTACTCTAGTAAACCTTTGTAAAATACACCAGAATGCATGAAATGGTGTCTACTTTATTCAAAATTCCCCCCCATCACCACCACCACCACCACCGGCATCGTTTGGTTTACAGATTAAGCCCTGTTTATCATAGAATGTAGTCCGTTGTTGCTGCTTGTCTCATAGTGTCAAAATGACACATCAGGGATAACGGCACATATTTATGAAAATGATACAAAAACGACCCGAACAGGAAGAAGCATGTAAAGAAGATGGATGGATGGATGGATGGATGGATGGAACGAACGAACGAAAGAATAATGACCCACATCTCAGCAAATGTTTTTCTTTAGTATAGTGGTTATGTAAGTGCACAGTAATGACCTGGAAGTGAGTGTTGTGGGTAATTGGTAAGTGGGTCAAAATGCTGCTCATCCATGCACTCTTCAGCCTGTTTTTCTTTCTGGTTAACAGCTGAGTGGAAACCCCAGCAGTCTGACTTTACTAAGCCCCTACAGGGTGTCTTTCACCTTCACATGTTGACACTCTGTCTGTGACTGTAACACATAATGGCTTTTATGCAGCTCCGCCGTACCCTTTAGGTCTTTTCTTGTTTGTTTGTTGTCGGGCCTAGTGTTGATGCAGTTGCAGATAGATATGGTTGACAGCATTCTAATGTGAAGAAGGAGAGAGGCTAAACACCTGGAGAGGACGACTGCTGTGTGCATAGGTGGAATTTGCGCACATAAAAACTCCAGCTGGTGTAGTTCTGATGAAGGGATGAGCTTTTGTAATCTGGGGTATTTCTGGAACCAGCGGAGACCCGAGGCACTGTGGGTCAGCCTGTGTTCCCGCTCCAGTTGTCTTGCCAGGCGTTCGCGTTCTTCAACATGCCACAGGAGCTCTGTGATCAGCGTGCGGCTGGACACGTCCCCTGAGCTGTTCAGACGCTGCGTATCATCCGGACTCTGCCCTCTCGTCTCAGGCGACCATTTCATCCAACTGAATAGAGGCATGGCACTTTCTGCAAAAAAGCCTAGAGAAAACTAAAACTAGAGAAATAAACTAAAGAAACGGAAAGAAAAAGAAAAATAAGTTCATTGTTTATCATAACGTTTTATTCCACAACTTTGTTCTTCAATACATATGCATACATTGCAGTTTACACTAGTGTTAAATTTGCTAATGAAACCATCATTATGATGTGCAAATCCATCCATCATCTTTACCCGCTTTTTCTGTTTTGTGTCGCTCGGGTCACTGGTGCCCATATCCAGCAATCACTGTGTGGGAGGCAGGGGACACCTTGGACAGGTCACAAATCCATCACAGGGACACATAGATACAAACAACCATTCACTCTCTCACTCACATCTAATCAACACAATTAAAAAGTATTTAATGGGAATTGGCAACAAAGGTTTGGATGAACCAGACAGAAAAGCTCATGAATGCATCTGCACGTTTCTTTCAACAAGTCTTTGCTCAAACTGAAACTGGGTCATACTTTTGACTTGAGAGAATTGTGAGTAGAATAACAAAATAATGCAATATCTCAGAGGTAGAATGAATTTGTCATTTTGTGCAGCACTTCAAGAACTCCTTTCGTAAGGTTGGAAAGATGCTTACTCCATCATCAGTGTGACTTTTGATTCCTGTTGGGTGTTTTTGATTTTAGCCACTTCAAATCTAACTTGCTAAACGGTGAATTACTGCAGCATGCAGGGTCAGAGGTCAACGTCTGTTAAATTTTACAATGAGATTAGACGACAGAGATTAAAGTGTCTGCTCCTCGAAAATGACAAGGATGTAAGAGTCAAACATAAAATGACTTGGAAAATTCAAAAGAAGAACATATACTTACTGGTTAAAAAAATGCACTGTTGACACTCGAGTTTTAGAAATTTGGCAAAGATGAACTTTTCACAAAGGGGATCCTCCGGCTCCTTGCTTCCATGGATCAGTTTTTGGAAATCTGATGCCGTTAACTTCCCCCTCTTGGTGTCAGACATGTGAATTTGGCAGCAATCTGTCCTAAGCTCAGCTGTTCCAAGTGTTTTGTCCTTTTTGTCTTGTCGTCTTGCTGCTGCGCTCATGTGGACTTTCTCCAGAAGAGTTAGTCACACACTGCTAACTGACTAAGCTGTCACCTTTGCTATCCTTTCACCCCACTGTCCTCAGTGCAGTGTGCAGCTTTGTTGTAAGGTCAGCTGCTTTTTGTAGCTTGCACAAAACAAGTGCATGAGAGAGAGAGAATGAGAGTGCATATGTGCTCGCAAGCCACGGGTGTGTTTTATTTGCGCTTCTCTTCACACTGTCTTTTAGAACGTTGTCTGACATTGCAGTAAAATTCTCCTTTTGGTCAGAGTGCAAGAGACACATGTGGCTGAAGATGCTCCTCAGGCCACAGCGCTGTAGGCCTGGTGGAGCGGAGAGTCAAATAATGATGAGCAAAATGTGAGCTGTGAGAAGCACTAAATTAGGCACTGATATTGTTATATTTCATCCTCGGAGTTGCAAGCTAATATTTTAATTATAGCATTAATTTTTCTCAGCACAGTTTTTTGAAAATGCAATGCGCTCTCGTGTCAGAAAACATGCATGTTTTTGTTCTGTTGATTAAAACTATATTTAGTTGTTTAGTGGTCACCCCACTTGATGATTTTATCATATTTAAAAATTGGTACCAAGTGTTAATATCAAAATAAAATTAAGAACTGATTTGTGCGTTGATGTATTGATTTAGACAAACGGAAATAATTTAAAATTTGTATGTTTTAATAATAATAATAATAATAAACTTTATTTCTATAGCACCTTCCAACAACGCCTTGCATTGACCAAGGTGCTTCACAAGACAAAACAAGATTAAAAACAGGACACAATAAATCAGTGCAGATTAAAAAACACAGCGAGAATAAAAGAAGGTAAAAGAGATAAAATAAAAAAATAAATACTAAACTACTAAAAGTTAATACATTAAAAGCCCTTTTAAATAAGTATGTTTTCAGTTTGGCTTTGAACAGAACCAGATCAGATCAGTTTTAATAAATACTGGTCTCTTAACCTTCCTTTATTTAGTACAATTGAAGTATAAATCACATGATGGGTGGATAGTGTGATTCATAGTTGTTTTGCAGTGCTAGATATATGTGGGAGAACCTGGAGCTTTAAAAAATATAGAAATGTTAAATTTCACAATGTTTTGAAACCTTGGTTTTTATAAATTCTTAGCATAACTTGTTCACTTACAGGACTTTTTGCCTGAAACAGCTTGTTGTGGACTGGTAGGGTACTGATGTTAAAATTTATTATATATTCATGCTAACGGATAATTTTTTTCTCCTCAGTCCATCGAAACCTCTTGAGGACAGTCTGCAGTCTGATGGCGCAACGTGTCCAAAACAAGAACCTTCAAAAAGTAACAATTATTTGCCTTTTTTACCCCTTTTCTTGTCAATTTTATTTGGTATGGAGCAGAAGTTTTACACCTCATCTTCCCTAACTGGTTTAATTGTATTCTTCTATTTTTAATTCTACATAGGCACTGGTCCGCCTGTCCTCACAAGTAATGAGTGTCCAAAATTGCCCATATGCAAAAACAGACAAGAAGTAAGATTTTACCTTTCATTTACTACAGCCACTCCACACAAGTCTGATTCCTCGTGTATGTTTGTTTCTTGAAGACTTCCTAACGTTATGTCCTCAAGACACTTTGTGCTCAGTTTATAGCACAAAGTTTTGTATGTTGTAGGACAATTGACTTTTTAATTTACCTGCTGTCATCTGCAGACTGTAAGCAAATGGTATGTTTCTGTGCTCGTGTGTGTATGTGTGCGGTAATGGTTGACATTATGAGCTGTACTTTTAATAAGTTTAATAAAAAGGTTGTGGGTTTTTGTGTGTGTTGTCTTCCAGCTGATTTCCCTCATAGAAAACAACTCTGCTGTCATCATTCAAGGAGCCACAGGCAGCGGCAAAACCACTCAGCTGCCGCAGTACATTTTGGACCATTACAATGAAAAAAATGCCTCATGCAACATTGTGGTCACCCAACCACGAAAAATTGGAGCCACCAGTATTGCTCGATGGGTTGCCACACAAAGGAAATGCACCCTGGGTAGTCTGGTTGGATATCAGGTTGGTACAACATTCAGAAATAATTTGATTTAGTTAAAAAGGCTTAACATGTACAGACATCCTGAGTCTTTTTGTCTTCATGTACAGTATAATAAAATAAGCCTTGTTTAGGATTCTTAAAGTTGTAGGTGCACAAGACGGCCATTTTTCCTTTTTTTTTCAGTTTTCATAGTAAATTAGGGTCAGTTTGGATAATTTGTCTGCATTATTTTGAGAAAAAAGAGCTGAAAGACCCAAACAAAAACAAAAGGCTAAATTACTGCCACCAGTATTCCTGTCATTTTCTACAGTTTTTACTTCACATTATCCAGTAGTTCATTTCACCAACCATTTGTCACGAGGCCCTTATCTGTAATTATTCATCCAACAGAATTTTGTCTTGCAAGTGAAAAACCACTTTAAGGTCTCAGTTCTAAAATGAAACTTTTCACCATCAGTGTGGACACGTTAGTTTTAACTTTGTAAAAGAATAAAGCTTCTGATTTTTAGGGAGATTTATAAGATATGTAGCTCAGGGATGAAGGTCAAGAACACTGAATACTTCAAATCAACTGTGATTAAAATGGAACAGAAAAAAACAGGAACATCAGTAAATATAAATGCATTGTAGTTAAACATCTAAAATTTGAGCACCACAACAGTCTACTACGTCGTCATCCACTTATTAGGCATGATTAACATTTAGTGCATCGTTTTCCATCTCTTAACATTATGCGTTCACAATCTTCTGACGGCTTTGTTGTTAGCTTCTTTAGCTGTGGTGTGCAGACTGAGCAGTGTCTTCATGAAAAGCTAATATTTCTTTGAAAAATCACAAGAACAAAAAGTAAAATTGACTAACAAGTTATGTCTGAGTGAGCTGCATAAAATCAACTCAGCATTATAGGGATTAGATCAAGGAAAAACACTTAAATCGGATGAAACATGATTAATGTCAACCAAAGAAAAGCAGTTAAGGACCGTGTGTGATTAGATGAAATTCAGTGGTGGATCTTAAATCTTTATTCAGATGGAAGTCGATGCCTTAACGTGCGTTTGTAGTGAGTTAAAGAAGAATAAATGTAGATTTTTGTTGTTATAGAGTCACGTCGGTTGAAGAGGGCAAACATTACCTCTACAGGAAAGACAATTTTAGGCACTTATTTTTTTAAGTTAAAATCAGGTTTAGTGATTTTAAAGTTCTTTAGGATGATTATGTTTTGGCCATTAAGTTGATCATTTCTAATTGTGTCACAGCTTTGATATATAAGAACACAAAGATGTGCTTTGCTTTTTAAAAAGTGAAATGAAGAGAATTAAACATGTTTCGTAAGTGTTATTCATTTTATTTTCTGATGGTTCTGTCTGTTCAGTTTATAAAAGAAGTGTGCTTTTCATTGGTTAATTACCTAAAAACTGAGTTCTTGTTTTTGAGGCTAATGGGCCTGTGTTGAGTTCTAAAGTAAAGAAAAGTTGTGAAAGTCTCAAACAGTGACCTTTTTCTTTATTCAAACCTTCAGATGGAACAAAAAATGGGCACATTCCACAGATTTATAGTATAACTATGGGTTAAATGTGCTTATGAATGCAACTCTTTATATATATATATATATATATATATA